TACATATTTTTGATTAATTTAATACTTTTACTTCTACTCCACTACATATTTTTGATTAATTTAATACTTTTACTTCTACTCCACTACATATTTTTGATTAATTTAATACTTTTACTTTTACTCCACTACATATTTTTGATTGATTTAATACTTTTACTCCACTACATATTTTTTATATATGTATGGCCTTTCACATGTTCGAAATAATATAAAAAAAGTCTACCAAACTTTTGACTGCCTTTTTTAATATACATAGTACTTGTACTTTTACTTATACTTGTACTTTAGATACTTGAGTAGCAATTTTTGAAATACTTCTACTTGCAATACTTAAGTACAAAAAAATGAAGTACTTCTGTACTTCCACTTAAGTATGGTGTTGAAAGAATACTTCTACTTTTACTCAAGTCAATTTTTTTATATAGTACTTGTACTTCTTCTCCACTCCTCTATTCCAGTACTTTATACATCTCTGTGCAGATGTAGTTTTCTGTTTTTGTAAACACCTGTATGGCCTTCACAGGTTTTAAACAATATAAACAACATCTATCACACTTTTGACTGCCTTTTTTAATACTTCCGTACTTCCACTTAAGTCTGGAGTTGAAAGAACACTTCAACACTTCAACTTTTTCTACTCAATTTTTTTATCTAGTACTTGTACTTCTACTCCAGTACTTTCTACATCTCTGTATGCCAGTGGAATTAGCTGTTAAATACTAATACGAATACGTTAAATACGTATATCCTGCTTGTGTGTGCAGTCTGTTCATGTGGGTCCATCCGGAGCTGACCCAGAAACTTTACGTGGGTCTGTGGGTGGCCTTCATCTCCTCCTGCCTGCTGCCATATCAGCTCCTGGGCTTCATCATAGGTATTTCACACAGTATACACATGCTAATTAGTGATTTTAATCCTATACAGTGGGGGAAATAAGTATTTGACCCCTTGCTGATTTTGCAGGTTTGCCCACTTACAAAGAATGCAACGATCTATAACTTCTATCTATCTATCTATCTATCTATCTATCTATCTATCTATCTATCTATCTATCTATCTATCTATC